TTCTGTATCTCTCAATAGCTTCTAATGCTGCTCAGTTACGCCTTTTTTTTTTTGCAATGTGCAATATTAGAGTCTATTTCACAGACAGTTTAAAAAACGCACAAATTTGAAGATAAAACAACTTATCTATTTTTAAATATTTTAAATTTCTAAAAAAATTGATAATAATGCTGTTTTGCTTCATCTATATTCAACCATGAATGGATAGTTGCAATGAAAATAACTTTTTTTTTCTCTTTGAAAAATTTATTGACTAGTCCCCCTCCCCCTTTGTTTTATCAGGCGTCACGCCTTTCTTGAGAGGACGTTGCGCTTCCTAGCGGGAGCGCCCCACAGTTTGAGAAACTCTGCCTTAGAAGGACGTCATTTGCCCACCTCCCTTTTCCGTTTTTCCCACCATCATCTTTTATTTTTCTGATAATCTACATTTTTTTTCCTTGTTGACCTTACCAACTTACAAATTGGCATAATTAAAGGTAAAACATTAACTCTTTCTCTCCCAAGTAACGTTATCATCGTTGAGTTAACCCCATTAAATTCAATTAGTTTTTGATTTTATACATTTTAACTTTTAATATTTTTTTTTATAAAAAGAGCATGTATTCTCCTAAAGGCCTAATTCTATGCCAAAAGTAACATTTTATGATAACAAACAAAAATGATATTGAAGTTTTATCATAACAGGATAGAATGTAGAAATGTGAAAAAGTAACTTCTTATCTTATCTTATATAATACAGACGTTACTTCAAAAAAGAAGATGACTACGTCCTACGCGTCATGCATATTAACCAATGACTTAAATTCTGCCAAGTCACTGGTTTTCCTGGTTAGCTCAGGCAACCCACTCCATGCTCTAATAGCACTAGGGAAGAAGGAGTATTTGTACAAATTTGTCCTAGCATATGGGATGAGGAATATGCCTTTATCTTTGTGTCTTTCAGAGTATTTTATTACATTTTGTTTTTGTACTTGAAGATTATGGTTCAGAGTTTTATGTCTTCTGTCAGAACGTGGAAAATAATTACGGGGATAAAGAGTTAAAACTTTAAGAACTTTATTGTAGTATGGAACTAATAGTACTGCTTCTGTCTTTACAGCCTCCCAGCTTTTGTTTCACACCAACGAGCCTGTGATTCATCCTATACTTACCAAGACATTACGACTGCGATGTTCTGTACGTAATGATGCCAACTCGATTGACGTTCTCAGGCCCCTCCCCGCCGCTCCGACAGAATCGCCCAATGATCGCGAAGAGAGACAGCTTCATTCTAACAATATGCCTTCTGTAAATAGTGAGCTCATGGCTTCTGAAAATGTTTCTCAAACAACGTATGTGTCCTCTGGAAACACTACACACTCGACATTTGACCTATCGCCACAAGCCGACATTGCGCATGTCATGTCCATCATTGTCAGCAAAGAACTTTCCGGTAAATATCTGCCTTTGGCAAAAGTTACCCCTTATGACCCGGCTTTTGCCTCCACGTGGATAGATAATGACGTAAAAGTCCAGGGCAACTGCGAAACTTCCCCAGTACCTGGGGAGCAATCCTTTCTGGAGCTCACTTGGATCTCGCCGAAGGAAGAGCAGGCCGGACATTTCAAGTGTGACATATACGCTCTCAACACGGACAGCTTAGCCGTGTCCCTTTCGACGTCGCTCGACATTACGTCATCAGCGCCGACTTTCAGCGATCTCATCTCCTACGTCACAGACCACGATAAAATCATATCGGAAAAAGAAGCCGAAATTTCCCGCCTAAATAACGAGACTCAAAGTTTGAAGAGCGCGCTAGATGAGCTAAAAATAAACACTACCAACGAAATCAGAGATTTAAAAGATAATCTAGTAGACATGTTGTCACCGAACATAGAAAGCGGCATCATAAGGTGTCCATTGAAAGAATTTATTAGCTTCCAGAAAACATACAGAGTGGATCCACTCGTTTTTTCCAGTTTTGTTAATGCGACTAGCAATGGTAATGGCTACAATAGAATAGGTTTTTACATTGACATTACCAATGTTACTACTACCGGATTTTCTGTTGATTGCGGGTATTCTTATAACGAGTGTGTGCCTACTTTTAAATGGTCCTCAACGGGCTATTATAAGTAGTACAGAGGTTCTAGACCTAATTACATTTTAATGCAAAATTTATTTGATATGCATAATGCATGTATTAAATTTTGAGCCTTAATCTGTATAAACAATAAACACTTTGATTAATTATTTAGTAATTATCTTTGAAATGGTGTGATCTCTCTATATCTATCTATCTATGCCTATATATATATATAATTTGTCCATCGTGGTTCGATGATGGCCACTTTGTCTTCCAGAGGGCTGAGGGATTTGCACTGAGGTTTTAGTTTTACACCTCCTCGTGTGGTTGGTGAGACCTATGTGATCCTGGAATGTTCGGCTACACACTGGGCAGGTTATTCCAGCTGGAGCTAGTGTCATTGGCCTTGCTTTTCTTCTCTGACGTTTTTCTTCTGCCAGCGTTTTTCTCTTTTCCTCAGGAACCTGTGCACCAGTTTTCACAACGCGACGCTATGATGCTCTGTCATGTGCCTCTGTCTCCCAGGTGGCTGGGTCTATGCTGAACGACTTCAGAGAAGCTTTGAGGGTGTCCCTGAAGCGCTTTCTTTTACCACCTTGCGAGTGCTTTCCTTCGCTTAGTTGGCTGTACAAGAGTTGTTTAGAGATGCAGTGGTCTTCCATTCTGCAGACATGTCCGCCAATCGCAGCTGGGACTGCATCAGGATTGTATGGATGCTTTGGAGACCCGCTCTTCGAAGGACCTCAGTATCTGGTATTTTGTCTTGCCATTTGACATTCAGTATTTTTCTTAGACATGTCATGTGGAAGTGATTCAGTTTCTTTACATGTTTTCTGTACACTCTGTTTATATCATGTCCATTTATCTTGATTCTTGGATCCGATCAGGCTTTCCCAGGAGCAGGTAAATATAAGACTTCAGTCTTATTTGTGTTAATGGTAAGGCCAAAGTCTGAGCATGCTCTTGAGAAGTCACTGACGATGCTCTGCAGATTATTTTCAGAGCAGGCATTTACTGAACTGTGTAGGTGCTAGGACACAGCCTTGTTTTACCCGTTTGATACTTCAAAGGGCTCTGATGGTTCTCCACTTTCTTGGACACAGCCTTCATGCCATCATGAAATAGTCTCACCATGGTTATGAATTTTCGTGGACAGCCATACATTGATATAATCTTCCAGAGTCCTTCTCTGCTAACAGTGTCGAATACCTTTGTTAGGTCGACATATATTGAGAAGAGGCCAGCATTTTGTTCTTGGCATTTTCCCTGGAGCTGCCTTGCCGCAAAGATCATGTCAATGGTACCACGCTCTTTTCTGAAGCCGCACTGGCTTTCTGGTAGTAGACCATGTTCTATGTGTTGCATGAGCTGATTTAGTAGGATGCGTGCAAGGATTTTCCCAGCAATAGAGAGAAGAGATATTCCTCTGTGGCTGACTCTTGTTCCCACATAATTAAGAACAGCTCATGAAGTCTTTCAACCAGGGTTAATCCACCTTTTTTGTAGACCTCTGCGGGAAATTTTCCTGGGGCTTTTTCGCTTGCGAGCTGTTGAATGGCAAGATCGGTTTCCTTTAGCGTAGGGGGGTCATCCATATATATATACATTTATTTTACGTCTTGAGAGATGATCTTTTCCCTTTTCAACTTTTGGACTCTGGTGTAGCTAAAGAGGCCAATTCTTGATATACAGCTTGGTTGCATTTTCACCCTTCTTTCTGCTGGTGTTGTGTATGGCATCTGTAATCCGAGACCCTTCCTTCATGCTCGCTCTTCGTGTGTATATATCCAGTGCCGCCTTTTAGTTAATTAGTGTCGATTTTGAAGAGCTTCATGTCGCGTTGCTTACATCTCAATAAGATACATTTCTATCAACCTTAAAAAATCTAGACCTAGACAAAGGGAGTTTGTGTTTTCCCACAAACTACCAGAAAGCAAAAACACCCATATATTAAAATGTAGGCCTACATTTATTACATAATTGATTGCATTCAATGCTGGACCTATAAAAAGAAGGTTTGTCGCCTGCCAAAGTGAACACTTCAGGATTTTATATTCATATTGAACTAAGTTTTATTATGTTAAGTAGCTAAGCGTTTTTTTTTTTTTTGCTTCTCAGTCACACATCCCACAAATAGATAGATTACAGACCTAGTGATAGAATAGCACGTAATTAGTTAATAACAAAAACTGCCAATTAAACTTTGCATATGCGTACATTACTTTTAAAAGGATATAGTAAGTCTTATTGTAAGATAACAAAAAGGTTTGACATTTCATAAAAAAAAAAGCTAGCGTTCAGAAAACCAAAAGAGGCAGAGACATCTATTTTAGCACGTTACAGAATATGGCTAAATTTCATTAGCGTTTTGTGCCATTCCTCTTAGTAACCTGCCAAGTTCCCCAATAAAAGTACATGAACATTTTCAGATCAGGGTAGAGGATGCAAAGGGTTAATGAGGGTGTCATATGTGGCCAGCACAATGACCAACTGCCTTTACTTTTTCCCAACTTATGTCAGGTACCCGTTGGAGCTGGGTGGACTCAGAGGCGCCCTAAAGGTCCCAAAATTAAAAATCCCAGGACCCCACAGTTTGGAAGCCAAATGCTTTACCACTCAGCCACCAAGCCTCCATGTAGAAGTTCGTAAAATCATTAGTTGGCCTGTTAATAGAACTTCACTGAGCAAAGCTTTACAAAAGACTCCTTGCAACAGTGAAGCATTACTAGAAAACAACAGAATGAGAGACCACCATTAGATTCATAAAGGAGGAATTGGTATTTAAAAAAACAAATCTTTCTTTTATATTACTTGTTGTTCTTATACAAGTCAGACAGACAGACACAAAACATCAAACACAAAACTTTCAGGATATCAAAAGATATAGAAAACAACACTAGTTAATTAAGTTGATCATTCATCAAAAGGCAATACTTGTGTTCAAATGTTTCTTTTAATTTGTAAAGGCAACAATTATTGTCATAGAGATAAAAATATGAAAATAATTTTCAAAAAGAAAAAAAAAAGATGTATTATACTGGAATACAATGCAAATAAATACAATGAGAACCATTGGTCAGGGGAGAACAAAAAAAAATCAAGGAATGGAAAATCAGTCAACAGTAAGTATGTTCTCTGAATTATATGCTAATATATAGGTAGGTGCATGAGAAGTTGACATCACAGAATGATCAGTCTTGTTTTTTCAACTGGTTACATGATAGAACAATAAATAAATAGACTAATATAGTTTCTGATACATCACAGATACAAAACCTGAAAAGTCAAGCATTTTAGGGATACAATCTATCCTGGTACTGATATACAGGTACACATTTAGTTCGGAGTAAGGGGTGTATCCCAAAGATCAGGAGTATTGACTAAGAAATCACCAACATATATCTAAGTACGACATTAATTCTTGGACCACATTCACTCAGTAAGACCTCAGTCTACAAACAACATCATCAAAAAAAAGATTATTATTTTCCTGACCTGCTATTAACCCCCCATAGCAAACAAATAAATTTCATTTGTTGCATCAAGAAACATACAGAAATATGACATGGATAATGTGATAATATGAATTATTACGTAAATAAGCATATAAGATAAGGTGAAACCACAGATTAAAAAAAAAAAAAATTCTTTATATATTTTATGTACTTTCAAATATAGATTATATATAAAGACTGTGCAGCTTTTCTGTACAAAAAAAAATATTGCAGACAAATAAGTAAACAAACTGGCAAACAAAATGGCAACATTTAAAAGGAGAAACAAACTTGCAAACTCTCTAGGTTTCATCCTGAACTCTCTCTGGGTGTATTTTTATACAAATACTTAATAATAATATTAATTGTAGCTTTCATATGGTGCTAATTTCATGCTTATAGCATGCTCAGAGTGGTATATGGTCCAATCTCATTTTTGGACCAGTGGGGTTGGGAGGGGGAGGTGGTGTCTTGGAAGTTTTCCGTGCTGCCTTTAGGTGCTCAGTAAACACAACTCTGCTTGAGTAGGGTGTCAAACCTCGAGCCCCTTCATAGGTAGCTAAGCCAAGCCAAGTTCAAGCATACTTAGCCTCTCGACCACGCTTCCCACTACTTGGCTTAATAGAAAACACTAGTTGCTTATTTTTTCCTGCTTATTTCTAGATCTAGCATGTTTGTCCTTTAAAACTTAACAAGAGATGAGCATAGGTGCACACCATGTGACCAGCTATAAAGGCTTTAGATAATAGGCTTTGGATAATAGCTTTGTGTCTTGGTATCATTATTTTTTATAGGCCTATATATATATATATAAAAATTTTAATCATAAAAAAATAATATAGTAATAGCAATAGCTTAGTGCTTAATTGAATAATGTGTCAGATTACACAACATTTAAAAAAAATATTGTTCAGCAACATACACAATTTTAAACAAATTTAATTGCAGATAATAAAGATGATTATCATCAACATTGTTTGAGAAAATGTCAAATGTATTCGTAATTTTGCTAGAACTGAATGTTTAGTAAGCCAGCAAGAAAACAGTGGACATGTTTACAAACAATTGAGTAAACAAAGGCACAATCAATGAAATAAAATCTGGGATTAAGTGCTGCTCAGAAATCTGTACAAAACTAAAGACTAACTACAAGCAAAGCTCTTAACAGAAGTGATCCAAAACATAGTGACAAATTTCAATTTGGTATCAGTAAGATAAATTCTGATTTCACAGATTTTAGCTTGACATAAAATATTTTTTGTTTACTTATATTACAAACAATTAGATTGAAGACAAAATTTGAAAACAAATGTTAGCTGAAATTTGAAAAATAAAGAAATGTTTGTTAATTCAGTAAACAAAATATAGTCACATGGTTAAATAGATCCTACTAAGATTAATACCACAGATAAAATTTATAAATCTAAAATAAAAATGTGACTTTGGAACGGTTCCATATTCCCACAAATATATTTAAATTATTTCTCTCTGTTGGACTGTAGGACTCGTCTATGGCCAAAATAAATTGAGTTTATAAAACATCACTTACATGTTTCCATTCGACAGAACCATCTGCAAACATGTGTATATATTCAATATGTGTATATATTTAATAAATGCAAAAAAAAAATAAATAAACACTCTTGACATTGTTAAAAGATAAATTTTGCTTGTACTCATTTATTTCATTGCTCAAAGGTTTGATGGAAGATATTTTGGAGGTCAAAAGTCTATTATCTAAATGAGTTTCTACTAGCACAAACAAACAAAGCAACGAAAACATAATCACTTTAAGATATTATCAATTAAGATAATGGAATGATTTTCTTAGGAGATACTAAGTTAATAGTTATCAGTGCTGTAAAATGAGAAACAACTTTGAGCTTATGGTGACAGTCAATGGTTCTAATTCATGACAACAAAAGACATTCTAAACTGACAAAGTATGGAAGCATGGTAAAATGTGAAATCTATTTGGCTTCAAAAAGTTGTAAGTCATCACCTAATCTACTAAAACCAGTTTTACATTAAAAACAGATTTAAAAAATATTTCAGACATTCTGTTAGAAATGAAGATTATTCCATCCTAGTCCAAAACTCCTGCAGGATGGCAGGGATTGAAGCGGGAATGTTTTGAACTCAATAACATTGTCATGACAGTCTGAAACACCACAAAAATGGCTATTTCCTAACTCAATAAGTGTAAAGTAAAGTTTCCCCTTTAGACTTTATGATCTATAGGGCAGATAATGTAAAGGTAATCTGTTTTTGTGGCCAACATTTAATAAGGGATCATGGCCAGCATAAGACCAACTGCCTTTACTTTTTCCCAAATAATGTCAGGTACCCATTAGAATTGGGTGGACTTAAAGATCCCAAAATTAAGAAATTCCAGTCTTCACCAGGATTCAAACCCAGGACCCCACAGTTCAAAATCAAAGTGTTTTACCACTCTGCCACCATTCCTCTTTCCTATCTCAATTTACCTGTACAGTTGGCTATGTAGCACAGAAAAGAATAGGCTAAATTATGTGTGCCTGTCCCCCCCCCCCCCCTCAGTATAGTCAATACATTATACACAACACACAATGTACATAAAAAAAAGATATAGAAATTACAAAAAAATAAGTGCAAAACATAAGTATGGTCAAAAATATTATTCTAAATATGAAATGTCTATGTCTAGTATGAAATCACAGTTTCAGAGGCATAGCTAGGGTAGGGGGAGGAAGGGGGAGAATTAGAAAATTCCCCCAGGCCCCCACTTGAAAGGGGGCCCCCAAATGAGTGTTTTATATTTTACATCAAATATTTAACAAATTGCAGGGGCCTCCAAAGAGGTCAAGCCCCCTGAGGCCCCCAAATGATGACAAATTCCTTGCTATGCCAACGTTCCAATTTTCATCTGACATCACACAAATAAATAATAAATAAAGCAGTTTTAATGAGCATATTTTGTGTGTGTTAATATAGATATTGATCTTTTCTTTTAGTTTTAAGTCTATTTATTGAGGTACACCATGTCAGTTAAGTCACACAAAAACATACATACTCAGCAGTATATAGTTCAACTCTCTATATATCTTCAATCCATCTTCTACTTTTGTACCAAACACATTGACAAGAAAAACTAAAATGTGAACTTTCACTAGGTCACTACTGTCACAACATTCTTTATAAAAAATAATTTATTAATACATATGTATAAAGAAAATATAAAGTTTAATTGTATTTTCTGTTCTTAGTTTGATATTAATTCTCTGGTAGTGTAACTTCAAAATAAAATCTAAACAACTTGGGCACAACAATCTTTCATCGACTGGTGTCTTAAGGGAAATAAAATTTAGTCATTGATTTAAGCCTGAGAATAATGTTGTGTCAATGTTTTAATTCAATACAGAAATAATCCAAAATTTTCAAACATGAAAATAAAATTCTGACTAACTAATGTCAAAGATTTCATTGGGAATACAAGTAAAAATGAGAAGGTGTATGATTGTAAATTATATAAAATAGACATTTAAATCTGACTTGATTACTTAAATTGAAATTTAGAGAAAAAAGAATGAAAAGAAAGAACAGGCCTAGATAATAAGTTATTTAGCTTTAAAAAATGTTTTAAACTTCAAAACAATTTGAATTTCAAATAACATAAAAATTAGAAGATACAAGTGGAAATTGATTATTCTTGTAAAAGCTTAAATTTTCCACTGTTTTCATTTAAAGGAAAATATGTTTCAGAAGATTAAACAAATTATATAAGTTAAAAAACTGCTATTACTCAAATTGTTTTAATATTCCAAACCTGGGCAACTAAGAAATCATTGTAATATAATAAAAGAAAATTGAGGACTTGATAAATCACTAGTTCAATTTGAAGTTTCTATAAGATCTACAAAAAAAAAAAAAAGAACAACTATAAATGACACTAAAATGACATTCCTATTCAAGTACATCCATACACATTGTGTATCACACAAAGTAAAGTCAAAGTTAAACATGAATCAACGGGGCAATTTGAAACAAGGTATGAGACACACCACTAGCAATGTAATATATGAACTTGTATAATAATGTCAAGCAATGGAAAACAGAAGTGAACCACAAAAACTAAGTCCATGTTTCAATATAAATCTACTTCTCATTACAAACAAATAGTTAAGATATTTTGACATAGAAATTTTTAGAATACTAGTGTATAAGTAAAAGCTAAATAGAATATTGGAAAGATGAACAAAAAATATATTTTTAAAATGTTAAGTTGGTATATTTAATAATGTTAACTTGTAGAATGGAATAGGAAAATGAAATGCTCAACTTGTCTGGTCAGCACCAGTCATCATCATCCTCATCAGAATCTTCGTGTAAGGCTGTATGACTGTCACTTCTCATTTCATACTTTTCAGGCTTACGCCCTCTGTGCTTAAAACCATTAGGTACAATTCTACCCCTTGAGTGCGGAGAGTTCCCTTCAGCCTGACTGGCTGATATAAAGTTATCTTCATGCAGACCACCACTTTGAGGGTCAGGTGACCTAGACAAAGACCTGACTGACGTCCGTGGTAAAGACCGAGAGTCCCGGCCTCCATCCTTTGTACGTTCCTGGCCACCCCATTCATCATAATGGTAACCGCTAGTTCTGTGAGCTGACGGCAATGTACTAGATCTAGAAGGAGAAGGTTCTGAGAGTTTGTTTAAATTGTTTCTCTCTGTTGGACTGTAGGGCTCAGGTCTACTTAGTCGGCCAGGCGGTGGCGCATGTCGCACATGATGAGGTGGGATGGGGGCTACAGCAGTACCAGAAGAAGT